CTCCCTGGGATCATGACCTGAGCTGAAATCAAGAGTCAGATGCTCAATCGACTGAGCCACCCAGGCACCCCTGATGTGACATCCTCTCAATCTGCAGTGTTTCACTCCAAATATAGCTTTCAGACAAATCAGCTAACCCTCTTCCCAGGCAAGCTAACAAACGTCTCAAAGTTTCAGGTTCCTGTCTCTAAAATAAAAATGGGACTTGTAGCATTGTGTCATTATGTATATTAAATGAGATCATATATACAAAACACTTAGCACAGTGCCTGGCATACAGTTGGTGCTTAATACATGCTTATTATTTCCTCTCCTTGAAGAAAGGAGTGGTGTAAGGATAGAATCTGAGATAAAACACATCCATGGAACCCAGCCCTGGACCATGCTTCACCCTCTCTTTCTCCAGTTCCCCCAACGAACAAATCAGCTCAGACTTAGACCCTCCTGTGGCATGTTCTTGAAATTCTCCCCAAGACATCAATGCTTTGGGTAGGTGAAGAAAAGCCAGCTGGGCCTTTAGAGAATAGGAAAAGATTCTAGGAGGGCAAGGCATGAGTCTCTCCCAGGCACATGGCTGCTTCCCTGATTCTGGGGGAATCCCCAGGGTTTCTGACCCAGGTTTGCATGACCTAGGCAGGGAGGTTACTCTCCTGGGCAATGGTTTGCTTGGTGAAAAAGGAGGGGGAAGGGAAGGCACCTAAGGAAGTCTGACCTGGTTTCCAGCAAGGACCCACCCTCAGTCAGTCAGTTAGTCAAGCAGTCAGCCCAAGATTTAGGCCACCCAGGATTTGTACAGGCGTTGCCCTGTTACCCAGAACAACACACTGGCAAGGAGCACAGATTCTGGGTCAAACACACACACATCTATGCACACTCACACCATTCACACTTACACACTCACATGGGCAGTGCAGTCTCTCACTTATATGATCACATGCATACTCTGACGAGAGTTTAGAGCTCTTGATCCCTTTTCTTTCCTCTGCTTTCTCTGTGCTGTCCACTCCCCCCAACCCCAGTCCAAAGAAATCCAGGAGAATTAAAGAATATTTGGGAACACACAGACACACACAGACACACAGACACACACACACACACACACACACACACACACACACGATCTAATCCTGCCCCCAAATGGGGAGGTCAGTCCTCAGAATCCCAGACCCTGAGGAATCTGAGTGGAAGTGTGTGCAACATGGAGCCA